ACCTTAATCCTCAGAGCAGAAATTCCTCCTCGCAGACTTATATTGGCATCCCTTTCTTCTAAGACTATGCCCTCTGGTCCTAGACCTTCCCGTGACGGATCATATCCTCTCAGTATTTACGCCTTTGAGCCCCTTAAGAATCCACACATTTCAATGAGATCGCTTCTCATTCTTCTAACCTCCAATGAGGAGAGTCCCAACCTGTTTAGTCTTTGCTCACAAGACTATCCCTTCAAACCAGGGATCATCCTAGGGAACTTTCTCTCTGAACTGCATCTGATGAAATGATATGCTTAAGTATTGCAGATATGGTCTAGCCAGCACCTTGTACAGTTGCAGTAGAACCTCCCTGTGCTTATCCTGCAAGTCCCTTGAAATAAGGGCCAACATCACATTAGCCTTCCTGACTACCATCCATGTTGTTGTTTATTTTCCATCCGAACCTTCTTTCACTCACTTTGTTTTGCTCTCTCGTCACATCCTTCTATCTCCTGTTTCTTCACCCATATAGCCAGCAAGCTCTCAAATACTTGTTAATGTAACGGCCAATTCCACGTGCTTGCTACTCTTTGGAGCAAAGAGGTTTCTCCAGAGAACCCCCCCCTCCACCCCGCTGGATTTGCGAGTGACTGTCTCCTCGATGGCCCCCTTGTTTTGAATTCCCCTGTCCAGGGGGATCACTTTGCCTAACACCATCTCATCTAGGCCTTTTGAAATCTCAAAGCCTTCTTTGAACACATACCCATCCCTCACCCCCCACCCCTTTCCTGAGGGAAAACAGACCCAATCAGCTCAGTCTTTCCCAACAGTCTTTCCCAACAAATCGGAGCAGGAATAGGCCCTTCAGCCCATCGAACCTGCTCCACCGTTCGATAAGATCATGGCTAACCTGATTGTGTCCTTAATTCCTCTTTCCTGCATGTCCCTCGACTCTCTCAGTCAATCAAAAATCTGTCTAATTATACATTCAATGAGCCGGCCTTCTCTCTGGGGAAGAGAATTCCGAAAACTGAACCTCTAGCAGAAGGAATTCCTGCTCATACCTGTCTGATATAATTGGGGGTCCCCCTTACGTTTAAACGGTGGCCCCTAATTCTTGATCTCCCCCATGACGGGAAACATTTTTTCAGTACCTATGCTGTCGAGATCCCTCAGAATTGTACAGGTTTCAATAAGATCACCCCTCATTCTTCTCAACTCCGATAAGCATAAAAGCAACTTACTCAACCTTCCCTGAGCTGTTTCCAATGCATCTCCCTCCTTTAGTCTGATCACCCCAAACTGTTACATGGTCTCAGCAACATCCTGGACAGTCCGCTCCCACTGTGGCTAAGCACTTCAGAAAAACTTTAATACTTGAACTTTCAGCTTTGCTTCTTTAATTTCTACTTAAAGCTAAGAATCTGCGACCCAAAACATCAACTTTCCTGCTTCTTCGATGCTGCCTGGCCAGCTGTGTTCCTCCAGCTCCACACTGTGTCATATCTAAGGTCTGCAATGTGTAACTTCTAACCTTACGCATCACTATAATTATTGAAATATTTAACATTGTTCTTTCTTTCTTTCTTGTTCTTAAGATTCTGTAAGTAGGTACTTGCAGCTAAGATACACTTTTCACTGTACTCCTGCACTGTTGTACTTGAGTACATGTGACAATAAAATCAATAAAATCTAAAAATCTAAACAGGATAATTCAGGATCTTCTTCAGTAACTCAATACCCATTTGTAATGTGGTGAACTGGAACTGTGCACTGTGTTCAGTTCTGAGGAAGGGTCACTTGACCCAAAACTTTAAGTCTGATTTCTCTCCGCAGATGCTGCCATCCCTAGGAACAAGCAGACTAAAGGGGAGGATGAGGCAACCATGGATGGACAAGGGAAGTCAGGGACAGCATAAAAGCGAAAGAGAAAGCATACAATGCGGTAAAGGGCAGTGGGAAGCCAGAGGATTGGGAAGCGTACAAAGACCAACAGACGACAACGAGAAAAGAAATAAGGAGGGAAAAGATTAAATATGAGGGAAAGCGAGCCAGTAATATAAAAGAAGATTGCAAGAGTTTCTTTAAATATGTAAAGGGAAAAAGTGGACATTGGGCCGCTGGGAAATGACACTGGAGAAGTACTGGAGAATGGGGGACAAAGAAATGGCAGAGGAACTGAACAAGTACTTTGTGTCAGTCTTCACAGTGGACGACACAAATAGCATTCCAAAAATTCAAGACAATCGGGGTGGGGGGTGGGAAGAGGGAGGAGGAGGCGGGCGCAGAGGTGAGTACAGTGGACATCATCAAGGAGAAGGTGCTAGAAAAGCTGAAAGGTCTGAAGGTGGATAAATATTCCTGGACCAGATGGACTACACCCCAGAGTTCTGAAGGATCTAGCTGAAGTGATAGGGGAGGCATTGGTGGGGATCTTCCAGGAATCACTGGAGTCAGGGAGGGTCCCAGAGGACTAATGTAACCCACTGTTTAAAAAGAGAGTGAGGCAAAAGATGGGAATTATAGGCCGATTAGCCTGACCTCCGTCATTGGTAAGATTATGGAGTCCATTGTGAAGGATGAGATTTCTGAATACTTGGAAGTGCATGGTAAAATAGGGTAAAGTCAGCATGATTTCATTGAGGGGAAGTCATGCCTGAAAAATCTGCTAGAATTCTTTGAGGAGGTAATGAGCAGGTTAGACCAAAGACAGCCAATGGATGTTATCTACTTGGACATCCAGAAGAGCTTCGACAAGGTGCTACACAGGAGGCTGCTGAGTAAGATAAGGGCCCATGGTGTTAGAGGCAAGGTGCTAGCATGGATAGAAGATTGGCTGTCTGGCAGAAAGCAGAGAGTGGGGTTGAAAGGGTCTTTCTCAGGATGGCAGCCGGTGACAAGTGGTGTTCCACAAGGGTCAGTGCTTGGACCACAACTTTTCACTTTATACATTAATGATCCAGATGAAGGAACTGAGGGCATTCTGGCTAAGTTTGCAAATGATACAAAGGTAGGTGGAGGGACAGGTAGTATTGAGGTGACAGGGAGGCTGCAGAAGGATTTAGACAGGTTTGGAGAGTAAGAAAAAAGTGGTAGATGGAATGCAATGTGGGAAAGTGTGAGGTCATGCACTTTGGTTGGAAGAATAGGATTTTATAAATGGAGAGAAAAGTCAGAAGTCTGAAGTACAAAGGGTCTGGGTGATGTCCTAATCCAGGATTCTCTTAAGGTAAACTTGCAGGTTGAGTCAGCAGTTAGGAAAGCAAATACAATACTGGCATTTTATTTCAGGAGGGCTTGACTATAAAAGCAGGGATGTAATTCTGAGGCTTTATAAAGCTGTGGTCAGACCACATTCAAAATATTTTGAGCAATTTTGGGCCCCAAACCTCAGGAAGGATATACTGGCCTTGGAGCGGGTCCGGAGGAGGTTCACGAGAATGATCCCAGGAATTAAAGGCTTAATACATGAGGAACATTTGAGGACTCTCAGTCTATACTCGATGAAGTTTAGAAGGATGAAGGGGGGATCTAATTGAAACTTACATAATGCTGAATGGCCTGGACAGAGTGTACATTGGGACGATGGTTCCACTAGCAGGAGGGACTAGGACACGAGGACACAACTTTAGAATAAAGTGAAGACCGTTTAGAATGGAGATAAGGAGAAACTTCTTCAGCCAGAGAGTGGTGAATCTACAGAACTCACTGCCACAGAAGGCTGTGGAGGCCAGGTCATTGAGTACATTTAAGACTGAGATAGATAGGTTCTTGATTGTCAAAAGGGTCAAGGGTTACGGGGAGAAAGCAGGAGAACGGGGGTTGAGAAACTTATTAGCCATGATTGAATGGCGGACCAGACTCGATGGGCCGAATGGCCTACCTTCTGCTCCTATGTCTTATGGCCAGACCTGCTGAGCTTTTCCAGCAACTTCTGTTTTTGGAACTGCGCACAATTGTCCGTGAAGGGCCCAGCTTCACAACATTTGGGATTTGAGGACAACATTTTTCACCCAGATGGTGGTGGGGGTCTGGAACGCACTGCCTGGGAGGGTAGTTGAGGTGAGAAACCTCACAACCTTTAAAAAAGCAATCGGATGAAGTGTCATAACATTGGAGGCTATGGGCCTAGTGCAGGAAAGTGGGACTAGAGTAGGCAGTGCATCTTTGGCGGTAAGGGCCAGACGGGCTGAAGGGCCTCTTCTGGTCTGCACGTTTCAAATGACATGAAGATGGAAGTGAGGCGAGGTGTACAAAATAGACTAAACCAGAAACACAAGTGGTTTTTGTTCAGAGCGTTTCATTGACAGGAAGTTTGGTAACCAGAAGTCACGGTGAGAACAGAAGTTGACTGAAAACGGAGGAGGAGAACGTTTTTAATTGAAGAAATGGGAATGTGCTGTCCTGGAATGAGCAGGAGAGGTGGCGGGGAAAGCAGACGCAAAATTAACGTGCAAACGGTTCGAGCTGCTGAGTTCCCAGGTCGTACACCGAAGGTGCAAGTGGTCGGCGCCTCCCGGGGGCAACCCGAGTTGCCGGATGATTTGCAAACTTGCAGCGGCGTGCACACGTTCGACCTGCTGACACTTTCGGCAGCGAGATCTGGGGCACTGCCGCCACAGGAGCAGCGCTGTGCACCCCACAGGAAACCCTATCAGAGAGATTCTAACACCCTGGCACATAGAGCACTGTATTAAGGTCAGGCAGACAGCCTGCTCGGTCATAATGGTAGGTTCCTGCCGAGGGTCTTTAAGGGGGAAAACGAGTTGGAGGGTAGGAGAGAGGGCGTTGCAGAACTCAGGGCAAAATGCAACTGAAGGCACGGCCTGTCGGATGGGGACAATCAAAAAGCTCAGGAGGCCGGAATTGGATGAATGCAGAGCAACTCTGCAGGGCTTGGAGGGGGGTGGTGGGGGGGCTGGAGATGATAGAAATGACTGGGCGAGGGGTGGGGGTAGGTGGAGAGAGAGGACCTCGCAAGGAGATTCGAAACCAAGCCTCCGGAAGCATCAGCATCCCCGTCAGATTGCGAGCTCTCCGGGAACTGTTCGGAATGGCCGGCATGAAGGAGAGGCCTCCTTCTTCCCCACACGGGGAGGACAATAGAACGGATTGTGCTGCCAGACCAAATAAAAGGAGGGGGGAGAAAAAAATAAACTGCATTCCTATCTTCCAGCTCACGTCTTAAGCCTGAAATGGCTAATATCAGCATTCTAATCCATGCATCACTGTGCCCAACACCCCACAACAACCTTTGTTTGCTCTCCCCAATTTGCACCAAATCACAACAAGGATACAGTGCAGGAAGAGGCCATTCCTACTGCTCCCATCCTTTGGAAAAGCAATCCAAAAGTCCCACAAGGCAGCATCAGAGGAGCAGGAAAGCTGACATTTCCCGTCGGGACCATTTCTGAAGAAGGGCCCCGGCCCGAAACGTCTGCTTTCCTGCTCCTCTGATGCTGCCTGGCCTGGTGTGTTCCTCCAGCTCCACAGTGTTATCTCTGACTCCAGCATCGGCAGTTCTTACTATCTCCAAAAGTCCCACTCCCTCCCCAAAGAAGACTGAAAAACTTTCTTGGTATTTTTTCCCCTCTCTCTATAAATGCTTCCAGACCTGCTGAGTTTCGCCTGAACTTTCTGTTTTTTTTTACATTATTAAGTTCCACTCTGTTGCTGCTCCTTCCCAATAACTCTGCACCTTTCGCTTTCACTTCAAGTATTTAAGCAACTCCCTTTTCCATAGGTGCTTGTGAACCTCCAGAGTACTTAAAGTACCAGTGCAGAGTCATAGAGTCACACAGCACGGAAACAGGCCCTTCGGTCCAACCAGTCCATACTGACCATAATCCCAAACTAAACTGGTCCCACCTGCCTGCTCCTGGCCCATATCCCTCCAAACCTTTCCTATTCATGTACTTATCCAACTGTCTTTTAAACATTGTAACTGTGCCCACTTCCATCACTTCCTCAGGAAGTTAATTCCACATGCGAGCCACCCTCTGTGTAAAAAAAATTGCCCCTCATGTCTTTTCCAAATCTTTCCCCTCTCACCATAAAAATATGCCCCCTAGTCTTGAAATCCCCCACCCTAAAAAGACACCTGCCATTCACTTTACCTCTACTCTTCATGATTATATAAACCTCTACAAAGTCACCCCTCAACCTCCAGCTCTCCATTGAAAAAAGTCCCAGCCTGTCCTCATAACTCAAATCCTTCATTCCTGGCAACATCCTGGTAAATCTCTTCTGAACCCTCTCTAGCTTAATAATATCCTTTCTATAACTGGGTGACCACAGTGATCCAGAAGCGGCCTCTCAAAGTCCTGTACAACCCCTGACATGACGTCCCAACTGCTATACTCAAAGGCCTGAACAAGTTCCAAGTGATAATAGGCAATGAATCAAAGACGATAAGAAGAGATTAGTGTGGTTTGGTGTTGGTGGCATGGACGTGATAAGTGGAAGGGCCTGTTTCTGTGCTGTATGACTCTATTCCAGTCTACAACAATAACACCCTCCCCCCACCCCCAATTACTCTTAAATTTCCCCTTTGCTCCAAAAACAACCACAGCTTCCACTGTTAACTCTCAAGCCTGCAAAGGAAATCCCCTTCCTGCAGTCACTTCCTGGTTTCCTCTCTGGGGAGCCGTGGAGCAAGTGTCACTTGGAGCGTTATATCCTTCCGAACCAGGGTTGCAATCCGGAAAAAAAAAAGGGGCTGAGGCATGTGGATGGGTTGTCACAGGCAGGAAGTGGAACATGCAGTGAAGCACTTTGCTCCAAGGCGGGGGTAGGGAGGAGAATTTGGTCAGCTGTGGCTCGCTGCAGTAACTCTCATATCTCAGAGATAACAGGTTGCGGGTTCGAGTCCTGCTTGGGGGAGATGTTTGTCTAAGTCTGTGAGACAGAGATAGCAGGAACTGAATGAAGAAGGGTCTAGGCCCGAAACGTCAGCCTTCCTGCTGCTTGGCTTGCTGTGTTCATCCAGCTCTACACCTTGTCATCTGTGAGACAGAGCTCTAGTTGTGTGTTTGCTGACTTTGCAGTTCTAGGGACATTATGTTGAGGGATACAGTAATGTTTGAGGCATCGGCTCTCAAATGGGAACAGAATTACTCTCTAATTAATTCTCCTTTCCATTCCACTCAGGGGCTGTTTGCCGTCCGAGGGTTTGGAAGCACCCCATGCACTGCATTGAAAGAAATTGACACGCTTAGCACCTCGTGCTTTTGTCAAATTTGAACTGTTATTTCCTGCCTCTTTCTTAAAAAAATGTTTTACAATATATTTACAAGTGAAAAAAAGAGAAAGAAATGATGGTATTTTAAGGCAATCCAGGGGGCTTTCTCGGGCTGATGTCCACTAACCCGTTAAACGACATTATGAATGATGTTTAGGTTTGGCACCACTTTTTGGGACGGGTTTTTTGTGGGGGGAGGGGATGTCGAGGAAGGTTTGCTATAGAAATGCAAACGTTCTCTTGCTGTCTCATTCTGTTTCATTTCCTTTGGCCAGAGGCAAGATTACACGTGTTTCAGCACAAATACTGTGCTGTAAACCACATATGCAGGACCGTGTGGAAGGGAGGATGAGCACGTCAGTAGGCACTTTATCAGCACTCCGGAGAGAGAGAGAGAGAGAGGGAGAGAGTACCGTACTATTTCAGTCGATAATTACTGATAACCTTGTTTACCTACTCGAACATAACTGATAACCAAGTTTACCTAAGCTTATCTTCTGATTTAAAAACCGAAAGAATTGCGGATGCTGTAAATCAGGAACAAAGACAGAAGTTGAGGAAGGGTCACCGGACCCGAAACGTTAACTCTGATTTTTTTTCTCTCTTCAACAGATGCTGCCAGACCTGCTGAGCTTTTCCAGCAACTTCGGTTTTTGTTAACTTCCGATTTGTTTGCATATTGATCTCCAGGAACCGCAATTTATTTTGGTGGGGATGGGAGATTTTCAGGTTTCCACACTGCCCTGGGTGTGAAAAATACCGACCTGATTTTGTTCTCGAACCCACTTCTAGATTATGTTGAGAAATTATGCTCTCCTACCGAGGTCTTTATTTCTCTCCCTACCCCTCACTGCTAGTGGAAACACTTTCTCACCTACTGGACGTACTGACTGCCTTTAATCGCTTCGATTAGTTCACTGTGACAGGAGGCCAAGTTTTTGCAGCCTATCTTTATGACTTAGCCCTCTGCGTTCATCTTGAACTGATCTAATGTTGCCGAAAATACTTTATACCCCTGTTCTTGTCACTCCCCGGACCCAACTGCTTCAATATTCAAACATGCTCCAAAATGCAACCAACCTCAACCTTGTAATGCACAGTTCAAAATCGTCGCGTTTGCCCCCCCCCAATCCATTGCTCCAATTTTCTGCAGTCATGGAATCATAGAAGCAGGTCATTCATACTGATCCTCCTCAGAGCATCCCAATCAAACCCAGACCCACCCCTCACATCCCTGCATTTCCCCACGGCTGACCCACTTAACTGGCACATCCCTAGACACTGAGGGGCAATTTAGCATTTCCAATCCACCTAACCTGCACATCTTTGGATTGTGGGAGAAAACTGGAGCACCCAGAGGAAACCTATGCAGACATGGGGAGAATGTGCAAACTCCACACAGACAGTCGCCTGAGGGAGGAATTGAACTCAGGTCCCTGGTGCTGTGAGGTAGCAGTGCTAAGCCACTGAGCCACGGTGCTTCCCCCAAGCTTCCATCTTTCCCCCCTCTAATGGTTCCCTCTCTTCCCTCCATCCCACTAATCTGTCATGGCTGATTTAACCTGCTCCCTGGAGCATCACTGCCCACACAGCCTACACCAAGCTACATGCCATCCTGACCATAAAACATAGGAGCAGAATTTGACCTTTCAGCCTGCTGATATGTTCCTCAACCCCATTCTCCTGCCTTCTCCCTGTAACCCTTAATCCCCTTACCGATCAAAACCTATCTCTGTCTTAAATATACTCAATAACTTGGCATCCACACCCCTCTGCGGAAATGAGTTCCACAGATTCATCACCCTCTGGCTGAAGAAATTCCTCCTCACCTCAGTTCTAAAGGGTCGCCCCTTCATACTGAGGCCGTGCCCTTGGTTCTAGTCTCTCCTACTAGTAGAAAAATCTTCTCCACTACCACTTCTCTCTCCGCATCTTGTCCACGTCAACTCTATCCAGGCCTCTCAGTATTCGCCAATATCTTTTCAAATTCCATTGAATAGAAACCGTTCCTCACAATGACAAGCCCTTCATCCCTGGGATCACTCTTGTAAACTTCCTCTGGACTCTTTACTATGCCAGCACAGCCTTCCTTAGATACAGGGCCTAAAACTGTTCACAATATTCAAATGCGGTCTGACTAGAGCCATACACAGCCTCAGCAGTACATCCCTGGTCTTGTGTTCTAGCCCCCCTGAAATGAATGCCAACGTTACATTTGCTGCCCTAAACTGCTCATTGAACCTGCATGTTAATCTTAAGAGAATCCTGAACCAGGACTCCCAAATCCCTTTGTGCTTCAGATTTCCGAAACCTTTCCCCATTTGGAAGACAGTCCAGGCCTCTGCTCTTGCTACCAAGTGAATAAGCTCACACTTTCCCACACTGCATTCCATCTGCCACTTTTTTGACCACTCTCCCAGCCTGTCCAAGTCCTTGTGCAGCCTTCCCACTTCATCAACACAACAGGAACCACTATCCCTCACTGTCACTGGGTGACAATCCCAGAATGCCCTCCCTAACAGTGCTGTAGATCTCCCTGCACCTCAAAGATTGCAGTAGATGAAGAAGCAGCTCACCCACCGCCACCTTCTCTGGGGATATCTGGGGAGAGGCAATAAATATTGTCCTAGCCAGTGAAAGCCAAATCCCATGGGGGAACTAATCCCTGTCCTCTAAATACTTCTCTCTGATAAAGTGTTAAGAGTGTTTTCAGGGATGTTGCCGGGACTGGAGGGTTTGACCTAAACTGAGAAGCTGAATAGCTTGGGGCTATATTCCCTGGAGCATCATATTGAGGTTGTACAGGACATTGGTGAGGCCTCTTCTGGAGCATTGTGTCCAGTTCTGGTCACCCTGTCGCAGGTAGGATATTATTAAGCTGGAGGCGGTTCCGAAAAGATTCACGAGGATGTTGCTGGGAATGGAGGGTTTGAGTTATAAGGAGAGGCTGGGTAGGCTGGGACTTTTTTTCACTGGAGCGGAGGAGGCTGAGGAAATCATGAGGGGCATGGATAGGGTAAACAGCCAAGGTCTTTTTCCCAGGGTTTGGGAGTCCAAAACTAGAGGGCATAGGTTTAAGGTGGGAGGGGGAAGATTTAAAACGGACCTGAGGGGCAACTTTTTCATACAGAGAGTGGTGGGTATATGAAACAAGCTGCCAGGTGGATGCTGGTACAATTACAACATTTAAAAAGAATCTGGATGGGTATATGAATAGGAAGGGACTAGAGGGATATAGACCAAATGCTGGCAAATGGGACGAGATTAATTTAGGATATCTGGTTGGCATGGATGAATTGGACCGAAGGGTCTGTTTCCATGCTGTACATCTCTATGTCTCTAAATGTAACTCTCTCACCCAACCTCCAAGCCTTCACCTGGGTGCTGTGCTTCTGTTTCTCTTCATAGGCTTCACCAAAGAAAATCTATAAGCACAAGTTCCTGTTCACTGTGATGAGAACACTCCACTGTAGGGTCTATGTGACATAATGTATACCAACGTTAGACATTAACAGACTGGAGTGCAAACACAGATCATTGCACTCCCCAGTCATGTCTATAGAGAACGTCACAAACAATAATTCGCCATGCACACAGGGTTACAAGAATTGTGGTCTGATTGCACGCAACATGCCAGGAAAGTAGCTGGTTCTTTCTATTTCCTCCCCCTCACCCCTACCAGCGGAGAGCGTTATTTTGTATTTACTGCACTGACGAGTTGCAAAGGCACAAAGAAGCAGTGTCCCACAGTGAATCTTTAAGCGAAGTGGATGGATCTATAACATATGGAACTATGCCAAGGAATTCAGCAGTGCATAACTATCTGATTACAACAGACACATGAACAAGCCCAGCGGCAGAGACTAGCCAGCTGTTCGCAGGAAAGGAGTGCTGAGAATGGTAGAACCACATTCATTTCATTCACTGAGAGAGAAAGAGAGAGAGTGGCCAGGAAGCGGGTGGAAGAGAAAGAATGGAAATGTTGGAAGGGGTCAGATGGAGCTAAAGAGAAACGGTATAAACTTGCATCGACTTTAACCACTTTCACAACCTCAGAGAATCCAGAAGCGAATCATAGCCAATCATCGTAATCCCTTTTGAAGTACAATTACTGGTCGTAGTCACGGCAGTCACTTTGTACAAAGATAATCCCCATGAAGGGAGAGCACGAAGTGAATCGAGTTAGAGATAGGCAGAATGAGAGGGAAAGAATGGGGAAGAAAGGGAAAGATGGCAAGGTAGAGAGAGTGGTGCAAATACATTCACTCTGTCTCTCTCTCTCACACACACACACGCATATTCACTCACACTTACATTCTCACACACACAGGTATGCAAATACATTCACTGTCTCACACACACACACATACAAACACATTCGTTCACTCCCACGCGCACACGAGAGAGACAGGAAGGAGGAAGGGAGAGAAAGACATGTGATGGAACAGTGATGGTGAGGAACAGTTCTCCCCGTGCTGGCACATCAAGCTTGTGGAGTCTTTACAGCTTAAACCCCTCGATGAACGTACCCCTCACACTATCCCTACCTCCGCCCTCCTCCAGCGCCCACCTTCTGGGAGTGCCCCATTGCCTGATTCACCGTCCCCCCCACCCCGGGGCGTGCCTCTTACCTTCCCTCGGCTGACGCCGGACTTGACCAGGCATGACCTCTGCAGCGTCAGGTAGCCGCCGATCACCTGGATCTCCTCAGCCGTCGGGTACCGTTTCTTTGCTGGGGCAGCGGGCGAGCCAGCGGGCGGCGTCCCCGAGATGCCGTTCTCTGTTGTCGTGGCGTTGCCGGGAGACGGGGTCTTGTTGGCTGCCATCTTGCGGGGGTTGATGGTGATGGTTCTCCCTGACTTGCGCTGGGGGCCGGGAGAGAAGGTAGGCTGCAGCCTCCCCTCGCCGTCCTCCGACGCCGCCCCGGGGCCTGGCCTCGAGGGCACGGGCGACAGGGTACCCTGCCGCCCCCGCCCTCCGTCGTTGGCACCCTCTGTCTCCTGGGTGACCACTCCCCCCCCTCCTCCTCCGTAGCTGGCTCGGACGGGGAAGGCCGGAAGCCTGGCTTCCCGGGGGCCCACAGTGGGAGGCTGCGGCCTGCTCATGTTGCTGCTTGGCCCCCCCCGACTGGTGTCTGGATCCGGCCTGGGCTCGGGGAAGGGGGCCCTGTCCGGGCCTAGCTCAGGCGTCCCGCCCTGGGGTCCAGCCTCTCCGGTGCGTCTCCGGTCTGTCGCTGCGCCAGCAGTAGCAACAGCAGGAACGCAGGAAGCAGCAGGGGCCTGCTCTGCACAGGAAGAGGAAGCCACACTGACAGGCTGCTGTGGCCTGGAGGAGCCGAGAGTGTTTACGTCGCTGGGGGAGGGTGGGTGGGGGAGGAGGACGGAGGCTTCGGCCTCCTCCTCCTCCTGCTGCTGCTGCTTGGAGGGCGCGGCCTGGCCATCAACCAGAGCCTGGGCCTCCCTGGGTTCAGCCTTGCCGTCCCTTGCTACGCCAGGGCCTGAGTCTGGATCCCGCCTCCCGCTGCCCACAGAACCAGGCCTGGGGCGTCCTCCTCCTCCTCCCTCCCCAACCATCCCCCGGGACCCCGGCCTAGCGGGCTGGGCCTCCTCCTCATTGCCGGCTCGGCCTGGGGTCTCCGTCGCCAACCGGGCCTCGAAGCGGCTGCAGGAGGTGGAGACCGTGCGCGGAGGGGAGGTGGTGGGGGGAGAGCGGGACTGGGGCCTGCGTCCTCGGCGCGGGGCATGAGGGCTCCGCGGTGGGGCAGAGGGTGCCCCTGAGCGGCCCGGGCGCTCCAGAATGTTCTCGGTGCTGCGGGACCGAGATGGCCGTGCCGCCAGAGCCTCCGCCTCGTCCTCTCCCCCGCCAACCCCGGCCACCCAGGTGCGCCCCCGCTGGCCGAACCTGCACAGTAGGCGGCTGACCCTTCCCCGTCCGGGGCCCTCCTCTCCCACCTCCGCTCGGCACTTCCCAAAGGAGTTCAGATCCTCCACGCTCCTGCTCAAGGGGGACCGGAGATCAGGCCGACAAGTCCCCTGCTGACCAGGCAGGCCGTTCACGCTCGGCAGCTTCTCCCCGGTGCCTGGGAGCCTGGGCCCAGATTCGATGATGGTCATGTCGTCTGCCTGTATGATTGTCACCCCTGGGGTGTGACAGGTCACCTCGGTCCCTGGGACTCCCAGAGGGGCCTGCTCCAGCTCCGAACCTCCCTTCCTCTGCTTCTCCCGCTGAATGAAGTGATTCTGGCGCAGGGGCCCAATGTTCTCCCGCAGCACCACGCTGTCCGTCGCCACGGCAACGCAGGCCTCAGGCTCCATCCCATCAGTCCCAGTCTTGGCTGCAGAGCCCATCGGGCTAGACCCAGCCTGACCCTCAGCCTGTATTTCCAATGGCGATGTCCCAGGGCACAGCCTGGCCCGCCTCCTCTCGATGATCTCCCTCTTCCAGGCCGGAATTCTGGCCAGCCTCTCCTGCTCTTCCTTCTCCTTGCGCCTTCCCTCTTCCTCATCCCTTCGCTTCCTCTCCAGCAGCTGAATCTTCCACTGAGGAGGGGATGTCATTGTGGAGTTTCGACCCAGTCACTGGTGGAATGTGAAGGGGTCAATCCTGCCCCTGGCTCTGGTCACTAAAACCTGCTCCACCCACCCACCACCAACTTCACCCCTGGGTCACCCTGTCTCACTGAGAAATCGATGGGGTCTCAAAGGTGGTGACCTTCAGACTATGCCATATGGGACAGAGCCAGACCCAGATCTACGGCCAAACACCATGTCTTTCACCCTGACACATTACAGACACTCAAAACACACACTCAATACTCAACCCTCATACTCAGTACCCAACACTCGGACACTCACAATCAGTCCCTCACACTCAATACCCAACACTCAGACCCTCGCTCAATACCCAACACTTGGACTCTCGCTCAATACCCAACACTTGGACTCTCGCTCAATACCCAACACTCGGATCCTCGCTCAATACCCAACACTCGGATCCTCGCTCAATACCCAACACTCGGACCCTCGCTCAATACCCAACACTCGGACCCTCGCTCAATACGCAATACTCGGACCCTCGCTCAATACCCAATACTCGGACCCTCGCTCAATACCCAACACTCGGACCCTCACAATCAGACCTTCACATTCCATACCCTCATACTCAGACCCTGACACTTGGACCCTTGGGAGCACACAGTCAGTTGTTCACCCACCCAACCCATCGTCAGGTACCCCCCGCACACCTCATGGAATCGCTCAGGTCCCCATCTGCCCCGGGATAAATTCCTCCTTCTCTCTGGGCCAGGGAACTCCTTCTGTCTGCCCCGGGATAAATCCCTCTGGGCCAGGGAACTCCTGTCCCGGGATAAATCCCTCTGGGCCAGGAATCTCCTTCTGTCTGTCCCGGGATAAATCCCTCTGCCCTGGAATAAATCTTTCTATCCTGGGATAGATCCTTTTTTTTTGGCCTTTGACAGGGAAACTCCACGGTCTGTCCCAAGATAAATCAGGGATAAGCCTTTCTCTCGATCCTGGGAATAAGTCGCTCTCTCTGCTCTCAGGATACAGCCTCCTGTCTATCCCTACCTCTGTCCCGGGGATAATACTCTATCCCGGGATAAATCCCTGTCTCCTTGCTCCCATGGGGTCGATTCCAGGCGGGAGGGAAGGCGATGGATATGTCTCCCGGGTCAGATACTCCGCTGTCCCGGGACAGTGCTGGGTCCTGGGTGCCGCCCGCTTCCCGAACAAAAGGAGCGGCTCCGGGTGGGTGTTCCTGGCCGCTCGGAGGCTGCGGCTCCCGGGTTCCCGGTGGGGATTCTCCCCGCTGGCGAGCTCTCGCTCGGGATTTGAAGCTGCCTCCGGTGGCGGGTCCGACGGGGATCCCGTAATCTCCCCGGGACCGGGAACCCGCTGCTGCACACAGTGACTGAGTGTGAGAGAGAGGAAGAGAGAGAGAGAGAAGGAGCATCCGGGAGAGGGCAGGAAACAGAGAGAGAGAGAGAGAGACGGGGGAGGGAGTGAGGTAAGAGAGAGAGAGAGGGGCTGGGGCTGGGGTAGACAGACAGAGAGAGAGAGACGGGGGAGGGAGTGAGGTAAGAGAGAGAGAGAGAGAGGGGCTGGGGCTGGGGTAGACAGACAGAGAGAGAGAGAGCGCGAAGGCAGAGAGAATAAAGTGAGAGACTGAATAGAGAGAGAATAAAATAAAATGAGGGATGGAGATAGAGAGACAGACAGAAAGTAAATGACTACAGAGAGAGTGGGAACAGAGAGAGACATGTAGATTAGAGAGAGGGGCGTGGGGGGTGAGGGAGAAAGGGGAGGGGAGAGAAAGGGTGGAGGGAGACAGTGGATGGAAGAGAGTGAGAAGAAGGTGGGATGCGAGAGAGGGGTCGAGGAA